AGAAATGTAATTTGGAAATTTTTTGTCTGTCCGCACGCGTGTTCAAATTTGTAATTTAGTGCAACAAAAAATATGCACGCTTACGCGTTTGTGTTATATGATAATCATCATGTGCTCCGGCCACACAATGCTACGCATTAGCCTAGTATAAAATGTTTTATTCTGCGTGTAAATTCTGTGATTTGCTGTGATCGAAAATTTTATACGAGTTAAAATTGAATCTTCTTTATTAGTGAAGTATGTATTAAGTTATATATTATTTATTTTTTTAATATTAATTAATTTATTATATTTTAGAATGACCGAAACAAAAGGTATTTTTAAAGAGGCATATGGAAATCTTCACACTGATTACCTTAATACTTTTAAATTAATGAGAAGCGGAACAATTAAAGTAACTAAGGAGAATATTGAAAAAGTTAAACTTTTTTTAGAAACTTATAACGATTTATTACATTGTGAAGGGCTTGAAGTTGGAAAAATTGAAATTAAAGAAATGGGTAAAGGGAAAATTGACGCTGTTTGGCATAATAAAAGAGAGATGAGTAGATTACTTGGAGCAGCAAATCATCTTTATATTAAATCATGTAGATACTTAAATGTTCAACCAGATGATAATTATTTAAATTGTCATATTTCTGATATTGTTGAATAATATTAAAATAGAATAAGGAATTCTTTGTTTTTTTTTGGATAACATTAAACTTTATGTGATCTGCTTAGTTTTATTTATAACTAGTGTTTGACCCGTGGCTTTGCCACGGGAGTTTAATAAAAATTTAATATTTAAATTTATAATTGTTTTAGTAATAAGAGGTTATCAGACTTGGAAATATTATAAAACATAAGATTTATATAGTGGAAACAGACATGGTAAATTAATATTTTATCAGATTTGACAGGCTATCAATCTTGGCAGAATCATGTTTGTGAAGAATTTTTTTTCTTAATTTTTTAAATTATTTTTGGTTTTTAATTTAATTTTATTTTATTAATTTATTTATGTTTATATTTGATTTTTCTCAAACCGATCTTGTCAAAAATGATAACCTGTCAAAGCTAATAAAATATTAATCAATCAAGTTCATATCTGCTATTGTTAAATATCCTAGCATGGTGAACAGATTTTATATCATTAATGAGGGTATTAAATGTAAAAACATTATGAATTACCATATTAGATTTATATAGTGGAAGCGGACTTGTATTTTATCAGATTTGACAGGTTATTGATTTTGGCAAGATCAGTTGGAAAAACTTTTTTTTATTTAATTTATGTTTACTTTTTAATTATTTTTATTTTCCAAACCCTGTCAAAATTGATATTCTGTCAAGTTTGATAAATATTAATCTACCAAATCTGGTTCTATTGCTATTGTTCAATAGCTCAATACTGATATGCAGAAACAGATGCATTAGTATTAAGAGAATATCAAACTGGAAACATTGTGAACTATTAGATTTTTATAGTAGAAATAGGTTTGTTGGATTAATATTTGACAGATTATTGAATAGGATCGATTTTTGGAAGTTTAATAAGTTTAATTTATTTTTAATTTAATTATTTTTTATTTTTTTTTTGATTATTCAATAACAAATTAATTAATGGGTGTTCTTAAGTACCTTACTTGATAGATTAAAGGCAAAATTTTAATAATCAGAAATTAAATAAATTAACCAAGACAATCTATTTTTTTCTTCAAAAATTTACTATTAATAAAGATCGCTCAAGCATTAGTTTATATTTTTATATAATAGACAATAAATTCTCAACAAATTTTTAATTGATCTAAAAAAAAATAGCTATTTTATTTTTAATACTTGATAATCGATACCTTTATATGAACATAATAATGCAACCATCTTTTAATCTTTAATCAAACTATAATGAGCACTACAGTTTTTCATTTACCTAAGTTAAGGGTAGAGATCATGTCGATCAATTTCTTTATATAACGTTAAACAAATTAAAAATTTTACAAACGTAAAAAAAAACTTTTAAGAATATATAGTTATTTTAAATAAACTAAAAAAAAAAAGCAAGAAAATAAAACTTTCAAATACTGTTTTTTTAATAGGTTGGTTTGTTTTTTGTTTTGTTAGTTTTTTTAAAAATATTAAAGCAATTTGAAGTATTTTAAAACTTGCACATGAAAACACATGAAGTAGTTTGCTAATTCAATATCATTTAATATATTTGTAATAATTAAATAAACTATTTTTAAAAATATTCTTTTAGATTGTAATATGAACAAGTGGTATATATATTTGGTTAATGGAAGTCCTAATACTAGAAAAGCCTATTAACGAAGTAATAATAATAGTTGGTTTGTAGTAGAAGATTTGAATACAACTACTACTTTGAAACTTCATAAAAACTTAATTTCCGCTTGTGATAATACAAATCAATTATTATCAGCACCATTGGGTGGTTATATTTGTTTACAAGGAAAGGATCAAAATAACCCGTCTACATGGTTACCTTTATTAGTTGGTTGAAAAGTATATACTAAATGTGCTGGAAAATATTTTAGGCTATCTATAGAACAATCAAATAATATTCTTGTTTATTTGTGGAATGAGTATCATAATGATCAATTTAATACTATTAAAATTTATAGACAAGATAAAGCATTGTTTTATTCTTTACATAAAAAATATAATCTTGATAAAAATTATTTAATTAGTCATGTATTAGGAATTGCTGAGCCAAAAATAGCAACAGAATTACGTAATATTGTTAATAAAAAATATCCAGAGCTTTTTTCATGTCATCAAAAAACAATTATTGCAAAAAAAAGGAAGACCAAATTTTAAGAGGATTAAAACGAACAAGTGCTGAAATTGAAACAATTCTTCATAAAAATAATGAATCTAATCTGATAATTCAACATGGAATTCAATTAACATATTCGGATATTCCACTATCTCCTAAAAGTAGTTTGGCATTATTAATTAAATATAACAAAACTCAACAACAACTTTATTAATCACAATGACAAATTAAGAGAATTAAAGCCTCAAAATTTGTACATTCTGAAGTTGTTGAATCATATGCATACAATTCAGATAAATTACGTATAGATGTTCAAAATGCAATAAGCAATGCAAAATTAAAATCTACTATTTTAGTTAATACGGAGCAGTATATTACTTCAATATATACACAACTATGTTCTAATTGTAATGATTTTAATTATTCAAACCGTACTTGTACTTTGTCAAAATCAGGATTTTTAGTTAAATGTGAAATATTATGTCAAAGGTGTAATACGATAACTGGATCATCAAATCAAAATAAAAATGAAAATTTATCAAAATACGTATCAGCAGCAGCTTTAGCTAGTGAAATAAATCGAAATGCATTACAGTCTGTATTAGCATGTATTGGTATTACTGCTCAAGCGGGTAAAACAACATATTTTGATCATCAAACACATATATCTCAATTGATCATTAATCATGCAAAGCAAAGTACTAAGAATGCTTTAAATGACATTATTAATTATTTATTAATAAATTCTAATTTGAATGAAACTATTTACCTTCCAATTGGATTTGATGTTTCTTGGTCTCATTCTAGAAATGCTAAACAGGCAAGTGGCGAATTTATTTTTGCACAAGATTTGCCAGGTAAATATTTAATTTTTAAATTTATCAATAAATACATACAGTATTTATAATATTGAATATTATTATTTTATAGATTATGCGCATAATCCAATTATTGCATATCATATAGTAGAAAAAAATCAAATTATTACTAATAAAGATGGTGAAAAAAAATAATTCATACTGGCAATTTTGAAAAAAATTTATGACAAATGGAGCATGCAATTCTTGTAAATTTATTAAAGCAACTATCAGTATCACTTAAAAATTCTAATATATTAGTTAATATATACGTAGATGGAGATTTGAATACTAATAAAACTCTTTTAGATATTAAATTTATTAATCAAATATATGCAAATCTAAAGCATTTAAGTAAAAATATTCGAAAAAATTTATATAAGTACTTTAATAAATTATATATATATATTTATATATACTAAAAAAAATCTTATTCATAGTATCTAAATGATATACTAAATAGCATAATTTTAAACAACATATAATGTGATATTTTAATGGATCAGTATATGCTGCTAGTTTACGCAAATCTGATTCTAATTCTAAAACACCTAGTGAAAAAGAATTAGCAATACTTCAAGTAAATGGTTTAATACAATATTTAAAAGATGATCACAGTTTATATTGGAATGAATTTTGCTAGTATAAAAAAAATCCAGAGCTTTGTTTAAGTGAACCAAATTTTAAAGAAACTAGTGAAGTAGAAATAATACAGTTTAAAGAAATGTTGGAGTCTATTTTTCGAATACCAAATAAGCAAGAGCTTGTTACTACTCAGCGAATTTCACAAAATGAAGCTTTCAATTGAACAAAGTTATGCTTTTTAGACAAATGAATTGACTATTGAAAATCATTTGCAACACGTTATTCATTAGCTATTATTTTAAATAATCATAGTTTAACAAAAATGTTACATATTGTAAGAGAGGCATGTGGTGGCAAATATTCACAAATAGATATAGATAATATTACAAAAATAGAATCTAAACAAAATATACAAGCAAATTATAATGTATCACAAATTCAAAAACGAAATGATAAAAGAAAAGATACTTTTGAAAATGAACGTATTGAACTTTTAGGATTTGATTTTGATAAAGTAAGTTAAATATTTTTAATTTTTAATTAATTCGATATAGAATTTATATAAGTTACATATTTATTTTTAGGAATTAATAGTATATAAATATAAAATTCATGAAGATATAGAGTTAAATGAATATATTCCATTATTTGCACCATTAATTCATGATTTTAATTTGATTCTTACTTGTCATAAGTGCTATTCATTTCACAAAGTTACTTCAGATAGATTGTGCAAATTATATAACTTCTATTCAAAAATCAGTATTTGTGAAATTTTAAATGATAATATAACTAAAACTCAACAATTATTTGAAGAAAAAATATCACTTGCTCTTAAAACTATCTTTGGTTTTGATTATTTTTATAAAGGACAAATTTAAGCGATAACTAATTTTATAGTTGATAGAGATGTATTTGTTATTATGCCTACTGGTAGTAGCAAATCTCTTTGTTATATATTATCATTAATTTTTTATACTGGTTTAACAGTAGTTTTTAGCCCATTAGTTTCACTAATTGAGGATCAAATAGTAAGTATTTAAATGTTAAAAATATTATATTATTATTAAACTAATAAATTAATATTTATTAATAGTCGAAATTAACAAAATTTGGTATACCTTGTAGTGGTTTATATACAGAACAATATCCTATTTTACAAGAAAAAATTTTCAAAGAAATAGTTTCAGGGTTTATAAAAATAATATTTATAACTCTAGAAAAACATAAAAAAAATATAGGATTTCGTTCATTTTTAATGTGCATATATCAAACCTATGGATTGTGAATTGTAATTGATAAAGTACACTGCATTCTTGAATATACTCATTTTCGGTAAATAAATTAATTAAAGTATCTAATTTCTACTTTAACTATTCTAAATTTTTTTACTTTATTTATTTAGCCCAGCTTGGGGACAACTTGGATGTTTAAAAAAGCTTTATCCTAATGCACCAATTATGATGCTTACAGCAACTTGTTTATAATTTGAATTTAATGATATTATATCTAATTTGGGTATTTTATATAATAATTTAGAAATAGTTCGAACAGGTAATTTTTCTCGACTTGAAATTTCTTATGAAGTTTGGTTAAAAAAAGACTCTAAAGATGAAAATATTATAAACATGATAGAAGAAATTAAAAAAATCGATATAGCAAAATGTATTGTATATTGTTCAACTCTATTTGAATGTAAAGAAATATCAACCGCTTTAGAAAAAAAATTAGATCTATTATTGATTAGTATATATCATGGAGATCTATCTAAAGAAGCTTATAAATACTCTCTGTCACAATGGCAAAACAATCAAATTCAGATAATGATCACTACTAGTACTTTTGAAATAGGCATTGATATGCCTGATGTCAAATTAATAATTCATTATACTTTTCCCAAAAGTATAAGTAAGCGATATTTCAAATACTTTTCTTTTGTTAAAGCAAATCTTATTATAATATAACTTTTTAGCAAACCTTATTCAAGAAACTGGTTGTGCAGAAAGAAATGGCAGTAAAGCTACTACTATAGTTTATTTTTCACAACGTAATTTACATACTAATTCTATAATTATTTTTGGAAAAAAAGAAAGATAAAAATAAATAATATTTTATAATTAAGCTGAAATTATAATATAATTAAATCATTTTATAGTCAACTAGAATTCAATATGGATACAAGCAAGTCTACCATCTTAAACAAAAACAAAAGATTATTAGATACACAACAAAAACTATTTGAAGTTATATATTATCTGAATGAAAAATATGAATGTCGTCACTATATGCTATTACGTTATTATTCTTGGGATGCATTACAAGATTCATATGATTCATGTAATCAGTGTGATAATTGTCAAAGACGTACTACAACTGATAAAGTTCAACAAATAAATGTAACAAATGAAATAGAGAGAATCTTACATGTTATCGAAGAAGTTCTCAATTATTCAAATGCAAAGATAGGGCCAGATGATATAGTCGATATATTTCTTCATACAAATAATGCTAGAACAAGAGCCTGGGGCTATGATCAATTGTGTATTTATAACTCAGATTAGAAACCAAAAACTCTAAAGACAAAAGAACTTACTGGTCTTGTTTGGCAAGTAATATTACTTCAGTGACACTCACCAACTTCAACAATTATTTTTCAAAAAGTAGTAGTTACTGGAATAGTGGAAGATTCATATGATCAAGTCAATACACGAAACTGGTTATATTGATTTCGTAGCAAATAAATAAAGATTGTTAGTATTGTTCAGAGGATATTAAATATAAATTACTTTTGGTATAGCTAACTCCCGATATAATGCAGTAGAATCAAATTATATAAATTTTTATAGTAAAAGTTTTTTATCAAAATTTTTATATAAATTTCCATTTGTATTTGATAGTATATAGCATATTAAAAAACTATGAAGTTTTTATAAATTCATATTATACATTAAGGAGATATAATATACATTATCATTGCGATTGATGTAAAGTTAGACTCAAAACAAACTTACTAATAAAACTTTCGATATAGTGAATTTTAAAAATTTTTATTAATGTATATTGAAGAGATATATAGCATACATTAGTTTATTTGATGTATAATTGAAAGAGTTATATAATACATTAATGTAATTGGTATATATAGAAGTTTGGGTAGTTTTTGGTGTTCAGGTGAGGTTTCGGGTTTCGAATGAGGTTTTGGGCTTCGGGTGAGATTTCGAGTTTCTGATAAGGCTTCGGAAGCTATAATCCAAAACCTGAAACTTTCAGATTGGCACAAAAGGGTTTCAGTGCCAACTTTGCCCTAAACAAAATCTAACCAAAACATAAATAATTCCAACCCAATTATATCCATCGGTAGAATTACAGCAGAATCAGAAAATCAAATTTACAAGCCAAGAACATATAGACATGGTGATATGCCATTCCTGATTATTTACTATTACATCCCATTATATAAAATATTTTATTCGCATTAATCAACATAAGTTCATTAACTGATAAAATTCGTTCCACTCATATTAACCATTTCATTCGGTTCATGAGAACAAAGTTCATTTAGTAATCATGGAATTGCAATAGAATCAGTAAATCAAGTTCACAAACCATGAATATAAACAAAACATAAATAGAACTTAAACACTTATTTATCATTAAAACCATTCAAATCATTTCATTCACATTAATCAGCATGCAGACCATTAATCAATAGAATTCGTATTATTCGCATTACAGTTTATGAGTATAAGCCTGTTTAGTACTGTAGTAATCAATAGAATTAGAATCAAAAAATCAAGTTAACAAACCAAAACATAAATACTTATTTACCATTAATCAACGTAAAGACATTAATTGGTTCATTTGTATTAATTATATGAAGATCATTTAGTAATCAGTAGACAAATAAAGTTCACAAACCAAGAACCTAAAGACTTATTTACTGTTACATACTATTACATAAAGCTCTTTAAATTATTTCATTTGCATTAATCATTTCATTCAGTCCATGAGCAGTACTGTAGTAATCAGTAGAATTAGAATCAGAAAATTAAGTTAACAAACATAAATACTTATTTACCTAAAGACATTAATTGGCGAATTCCACTCAGTCTCAGTCCATGAATATAAAGATTGTTTAGTAATCAGTGGAATTAGAATCAGCAAATAAAGTTCATAAAACCAAGAACATAAAGACTCAATTACTATTACATACCATTACATAAGCCTTTCAAATTGTTTTATTCGCATTAATCATTTCTGAGTATAAAGACTATTAATTAATAGAATTAGAACCGATAGAATTAAATCAGTAAATCGAGTTCACAAGTTAAGAATATGAGTATTTATTCCATTCACGTTTGCAACACCAATCCTGTATTCTTAACAGTAATCAACCCATATGTCCGATATTCATCCAATTGTTCATATTTGCTGATGTTTGAATGTAGTTGTGTGCCTTTTACATATAATGTGCAACATCTGTATAAATCGGTCAAAAAAAACATTACAGTGGAAGGAAATAAATATTGTATAACCTTAAATCATTTTATATACAAGGTACAATAGTATCTGTTATAGTTATTTTTTATTGGCTAACAACAAGTAGGTAGTACAATATAGATCATGACATAGATCATTTTAGCCAAAAAAATTTAGTCACACGTTTTATAATAAAAATAATCGACATGGTCTCTACCTTTAAAATTTTCAGCAAGAATTTTGTATAAATGTTTTTCTATACTAATAGATAATGAAGGGTTGGCTTTTTTCGAAAATATTACCTATACTATTTTTGGTGTGAATGCAAAATAGAATTACTATAGATTGTCTAAAAAAAAAGTTATTCTTGTTTTACAAAGTAATTTTCACTAAGTTGATTCTGTTACTGTTGCAACAAAAATTTAATTGGTAAATTATTAAAAGGTGAAGCCAGTGAAACTGAAGTTGAAACTTCAACAGCTGGTTAAATAAAAATTTTTTTGATTAAGTTATATAGGAGGTGTAGTAAATATTATTAAAAATAAAAAAGTATGCTTAAGCATTAAATTCTATAAATAATTGTATCACTTGAGTGCTACTATAAATATTATTTAAACAATTGATTGAGATCCTTGAAAACATCATTAAATATTCAACAACTAGTTAGCGAATAATATATATATTTAATAACTAACTTTAACCAAAACAATATAAATAAATTAATAATAAATCTAAGTAGCATTATAAATAAAAAAATAACAAAGATCTTATGTCAGAGGTATGTACTTGTAATCTGTAATATATTTTAAAGTACAGTATGTAAACTGTCAAAAGTGGGCTCTGCAAGTGCCAGCATGTGTTCCAGTAAAACATAGTAGTTATTCGGGAAAATAAATTAATTCAAGAGCTATATAAAGGTTGTTAAAAGTATTGAAAAAAAGTTTTGAGAATAGTTTGAATCATATCTATTTTTGGAGCAAACAGAAATAAGACAAAATAAACTTAAAACAAAAGTCTCTTTTAATGTCTAAGGTAGGTTGTACTAGTCTAATTAAAATTTAATTATAATCGAAACGTTATTGTTATACTTGAAGTTGTCACAAACAATATGCGATATAGATCTACATAGTTAGCAGCCAATTAGGTATAATTTTTGTCTTATAGTGTTTATCTCATAGTATTTATACACAACTGCATATTATATATTAAATTTTAAATTATTTGCTAAATTATACATATTGAATTTACAAAATTTTTTAGCTTGTTTATTTTTTTTTTATTCTTTATTTTTTTATCTTCACGGGTTTTGCCATGGCTTGCTTTTTATTAAAATGTATATAAGAGCTATATACATTTAATTTATAGAACTTAAAGCCCAACTTCACTCAGTTACCTTACGGCTCTAAATGCAACCTGTTGCACCAGTTCACAGACAAACTAGAATTATCTTATCAAAAAATCTATAAAAAAAAGAAAACAACCTATAACTAAAAAGGAGATATAAAAGGAGGAATAGGAGAAATGAACGAAGTATAAAAATAAAAAACCCAAAAAAAATAAAAAAACAGAAAAAAATAAAAACATTTTATAGAAAAAAGATAACAATTCGAGAGGAATTTCACCTCTCTACATAACCAAAATATACTATTATAACATGTGCAAGGCTAAAAAATTATATAACAAATGCAACAGTTATATATCTCGATTGTAAAGCTTTACTTTAATCTATATTTTCCTTTCCGACTAACTAACCAACTTCGGATATTTCATTAACCGGGTCCTGATCTGACTCCCATGAGGTAGTGCTGTATCCGTAAATAAGCATGTCACGTGGTTGCATTCTACTAAGTCTATCTGAATTTGGAATGTAAACAATGCTGATCTTTTGGAAGAAGTAAGCCAAATTCCCACTTTTTTCGAAAATTTTGAAAGACCGATGAAAAAAAATAAGAGGAGATAAAAAGGTACCACTTAACCAAGTAAAGGAGTGCAGCTTCAAAAAAACACAAGAATTGTTGTTTCTTCTGTATTCTTCTTTGAAGTAACAGCTAGATAGCTTCATTGACGGAGATGGGGCTGACCCCAAACACCACCAAGATTTTTCATACAAGAGCACCATCTGCCAGCTATCTTGTATAATAACACTCTTGGCTTGCATGCCAAATGTCAACTAATAGAGGAGTCCTGCTAGCAGTTATGTTAACCTCTAGACAAACCGCTTCATAGCTACGTCTCTCTAACAAAAATTTTGTTTTTTTATTTAATCAGATTTTTGGTTTAAATAATTGTCAGAGTCAGCTTGCTTATTAGTCTTATTTCTAAAATATTTTATATAATTATTATAAATAAATTTAATATCACTTTCATCAAAATATTCTTTAATTGCATCTTTATTAGTGCTCGGCAAAATCAAGTAAAACTCAAAAATCAAGTTTATGATTTCTATTGATTTTAAAGTAGCAAGTTTTAAAATCATGTTGAATAAAATTTATTTTTAGCGATAATCTGACTTTAAAAATCAAGTATAACTATTTTTATTATACTTATCATTATATAGGGGTGAGTCAATAGAAAAGGGACAAATCATTTTTAGTGAAATTTTTTTAATTTTTAAATTAAAATATCTCAACAAC